TAAAATGCTCACGTTGATACTCAATAGCTGGGAGGATTTCGAGCTAATCTGGATATCCCCTTTGCCCACTTTGCGACACCACTGCCATGTCATTTTACATTTCAACCTGGGAAAAGAGTTGCAGTCGTCCTTTATTTTTCGAGAGTCCAACAGCATTGTGAACATTTTCCACGTTGTATTTAATAGAAGTGAGAGTGATCTAACCATTAGCCGTATGGTAAACACGGGTCATCACGGGGATCCAGCAGGAAGCGTCAACACAGGCGGTTTTCGGGCACAAATTTCTTCTAGTGTCGAAATTGACAACTAAGTCTTTTACTATTTTGATGAGTCACCACAGATTTTGCAGAGGCTCGGATCTCGGCCGATTGCACTTTCACAAGTCTCATTCGCCTGCAAAACGAACGACAACGCGGTATCTACGAAAGAAGAAGCAGACATTCCAGTAACATCATTCTCAGAAATCGGAAATCAGGCACTTCACCCGGTCAACGGAACATCATTGCATCACTGCTCGTCGAATGTAATACTTTTAACCATTTATACAATGAGACACGAAGCGCGACTGGCTTCAAGCAAAGCTGAACATGTGGCTTTGATGAGACGTGGAAGTTCAATCCACATGTGTAGCATGAAAGTGCAGGGAATGAAGCAAATTATTGGAAGAATAGATTCACGTCATTTGAAAAGAGGAAGAGATATTCAGCTGGAACCATAGCACAATATTTTGGATTTTAATTCCAGTAATTCACAAACCTACTTAATTTATTTGCTGACTTATTAAATGAATAAGTAACAATAATAGTTCACAAATAGAAAACAACATGGGATAGTCATCGAAAGGCAAATGACCTCCTGTACTACTTGAACTATTCGAAAATATAGAATTACGACGTTGTTTGGATTATATGCCTTCAAATAACAATGCCATCCTAGAGCTGTGCTCTAAAACTTTTCATTATATTGTAACAAGCCACAGTTCGGACTCCCACCTTAATTTTGAACTTTTGCAATCCTATTAATCGGTTAACTCAGGCTGGCACCAGTTGTCTCCAGCTGTTTTTATTGCACTTAGTGAGCTTTACGCGGGAGGTGGTTACTTTGGTACAAGGCAATTCATTTCCATTTTTTTTGACGACGTGATATCACTCGCCGTGCTTCCACACGGTAGAGTCCTTTAGCTTGGTCGTCGAGGGGCGCTAAGCACTTTCATACATTAGATTCGTGGAGAATTCTGATAGGAACTGAAATCTACAGAAAATTGTTCTTAGAATAGTTATTTAAGGGCTATTACTGACATACAGAGTGATGTTATCATGCTCAGGCCGTGTGAAAGTTTTAATGTGAAGGAATGGTGGAGTGGGTTTTCTATACCTTGTCTTTAAAGGATTTCATTCATGTAGACGGCACTGTGGCGATGTGGTGGTGGAGTCCGAATGGCCACGAAGAGGCTGAACAAGGCTCTTCCAGCCGAGGTTGAGTAGTTCAGGTTGATGCTACGGTGTGTGTGAATCAGTATTGATCTAGAGCAGGGAAATTTTACTGCGTGTATGGCTCGAATCGAGATGAGCTCTCACTTAATCCATTTGCTCACAGTCAAACTCGACTGTGATAGTGTTGTCAAGCCACGAATGCTCCTACTATTCTAAACCGGAGAGATTCGACGACCCCAGTTTCGTGGATAAGCTAGGTACTCATTTTTCGTCAAACGTGGAAGCTAAAATATCAGATATTCCTCATTCCTGCTAGAATTGGGCTCTAGGTCTCCATCTTCTTGTGAAGGAGACTAAACACATGCGGTGCCAGTGCGAGTACTGCAGTCTCTTTTCGGTCATCCGTGTCCCTTGACTTTATCAAGTGAGTTGGGCTCAGTTTATCGTAAGTTATTTCTCGATAGTTCAGTAGCATCTGACGGACAAGGATCTTTGATCTAGCTCTTTGAAGCTGGTGCCTCTGTCGTTGTACTGCAAAATCCGCAAGCTAGCTGGTCACGCCTTTTGACAAATGATACCCAGATAAAGCCAGATGGAAAGATGAATGGAAATGAAGTCATTTATAACATCTTTAATGAGAAGGAAGTGATTTCAATTCAACTTAATTGTTTCAGTTCCCGTTGTTTAGTTTCATTGTACGAAGTAGTCAGAACGGATGTTCTGGAATTTTGTCTCATAATATTGTAACCAAATAATATCCCACTTGGCAGTTAGCGTTTTTAGCATGGATCGATCTGCATAATACAATCTGCATACACGCAAGCTCATCCATGCGTGTATGCATACACAATCAAGTGTATACGGAAGATAAACGTGCTTGGGATCCACGGGTAGCACGTCGGATGATTTTGTTTGCATTGCAAGGAAAACACACGATCATTCTTAGCCCTAATTTCTCCTTGATCCGCTCCGCCTACCCAGATGAAGGAGACAGCATAGATTCGATTGCATGAAGAACAGTAGGAAGCCTTCCATGGCACTAAGAATCAGGAAGTTTTCGGTTGGAATTTTCCTAGTTACTTATCTTCAGCTGAGTCGTTCAAGAATTGCTGGCTGGCGATGACAAAATTGGCGTGTAATCTTTGCAGGCGAAGGTCTGTGCTATATGAGATGACTTCAGAAATGTTAAGCATTGCTAAGAATTGATAGAATAGGTTATCGACATCTCATCCATTACAATACGAGCCCGCCAACTGGGGCTCAAATACTAAATAGTTGCCTTCGAAACTAAGTCAGATAGTAGCTTAAGTTCCTAAGATGGACTTTCTATTAACCTCGGCATTGGATTATAAATTCCTCGTTTTCTTTCTCAGCAATTGCAAGGTTGCTAGATGGCATACGTTTACTTCCATACAATAACACAAATACAACACAACCGTAGCTGACATTTCGGCAGAACCGCCTTCTTCAGAGCCTGGAAGGGTACACTAATATGCAACTTACTAGTTCAAACGCTTCAATAGCACAGACAGAAAGACGAAAATCCGAACGATAATTATAAGCGAAATACAACCACAACGTTGTTGAGGTATTTGCAAAACTCTGGACCGCAGGTGACCATAGACACCTGCGGTCCAGAGTTTTGCAAATACCTCAGCAACGTTGTGGTTGTATTTCGCTTAGTAACCTGCCATGAAAATTATAGAAGGCAGAAAACAAAACGTTAAACATTGATAATTATAAGATCAACGGCTTCTCGAAAAACCCACCGCTTGTTTTCCTTTTTTTCCTTTTTTTTTCGCCCTGTCTTCCACCGAGGAAGAGCATCCGCCCAGAGTCGCATATGGTTGACGAATGCACCTCTCCATATCGAAGCGCTGGGTTTTTCGAGAAGCCAGTGATCGTGTAATTATTCCCCCGTCCGACTTTCTATTGACCTCGGCGTTGATTGAACAATTCTTTCCACTTCTGTTCAGCAAAAAAAAATCCGAAAATGAACCGCAGGAATGAATGCCCTATTATCACGCGTGATATAGGGCAATATATAAACCTGTTATTCTGATGGGAGGGGCACATTACGCTTCCATGTGAATTCTGTGCGGTTGGTCTTCACACGACATACTCAGTGGAAGACTCATAGAAAGCGGTGAGTGTGCAGAGCTGTGTTAAATGTGATTGAAATCTTGGTTTAGCGTTTTCTCTGTTTGGTTATGAAGGTGTTTGGCCGAATGGGTTGCTGTCAACTTGACCTTTCCAGGCTCTGAGAAAGGCGAAATCCGCCGAAACGTCAGCTTTTACGTGAGTGGGGAAGTGGAATAGCACCTTGTGTAATTATTGTTCAGATTTTGATTTTTCTGTTTGTGTTGTTGAAGCGTTTGACCTAGCAAATTGCATATTAGTGTACCCTTCCAGGCTCTGAGGAAGGCGATTCTGCCGAAACATCAGCTAAGATTGTATTGTGTGTGTGTTGTCTGGAAGTAAACGTATGCTGTTTAAAAACCTTGCGATTGCTGAGAAAGAAAACTACGAATAGCTTAAGTATTTAAGAGACAGAAATGTGCTACTTTTCGTCAATCAACTGTTTGGCTTTGCTGAGATAGCACTGCACACTCTCCATACTTCATTCATCTGCTCATTTCCACGCGTCATTAAAAGAGCTCCGTTTTAAATTAGAACATCATAGAATACTTCTGCTTGCTACTTGTTTTTTTTCTAAGGATGCTCACTAGAGAGCGTGAGGACTCGAAAACCTCTTGCGAATTACGAATTAAAAGTGCTAAATGTATTTCCATTATACGTTTCTCTTAAAGTCCTGTTTATTGTGCTCGTATTGATAATAGTTACTGATCGTTAGGTAGAGTGACTAAAAAGTAAAAGATTCTGATGTTTACTAATTCTATTGCATCCAAAACTGGTGAGAAATGCTTGCTTTTGCCAAATTCCTGCTTCCGGGTTTTCGTTGTTCTTTTCTAAAGGCCCTGCTGGTGACTCACGCCTTTCCCTATCTCTCCTCGCTACCAATAGAGACTATTCTTCAAATTCATCGTTGGGAAGTGCTATAGAGCTTTAGCCATTCTATGCCAATTTACTTATAGAATTTTGTGGTCCCTCCAACGGCTTACCGCCTCATCGGTGCTGGGAGTTGTTCCTGGGTGTCAGGCTGCAAGGTACAGCCGAGAGATTCGCCCCCACCCACGGCAAGGTCTCCCAAGCTGAGAAGGAGTCTGGCGTTTCCTTCAGGAAGCCTAACTAGGGATAAACCAATACTAGGATGCACCACCGTCCTAGTGTCAAAGTCGCATGGCGGCAAATCTCCCTGTGATCCACAAGGGCTGCTACTGCCTGCGGTGGTGAAGACCCGGGGCAGACTTTGTCCGGCTGACCTTAGGGCTGCAGGGGAACACAATGGCTAGACCAGCAAATCTCCAAAAAATGGTGATTATGCTGGGGCTCGCACAACCAGTGAGCACGGGCTGTTCAAGTAAGTGAGTAAGTTTTGTGCTAAGGAGGAGAAAGTGAAAAGGAAATTTGGACTGAGATTCAACTTCTTCTTCATGTCAATAGAACCTACGCTGTGTCATAATATGCGTCGATCGATGTGTTCTCGGCAGAATAGGTGCAAGTGAGATCGTAGATTTTATCTTCTTCTGTAAGGAATTCATAGTCGTATGAGACTACCACTCGAAGATGAAAATCTATTGTAGACGGTAAAAGGCTCTGCAAAACAAATCAAAAAAGAAGATTATGTTAAAGTAAAATGAAAGTTGTAAAAACACCTTTTTGCTCCAAACTCCACAGCGCCCATGAAGAGATGTGAGAAACTTGGGAAGTGTAGTCTGCAATCAAATGTACAAGTAGCTTCAAGTTTCTTACAGCAAACTGTTGAAGCATTGAAGATGAAGATGTACTATCAAAACTAAACTACAATAACCTCATTTACAAGCGCCAAAATAATTTTTGGCATATCCGACGCCGCAAGATTTTCATATGGCTCTTACGTAGAGGAGATGTGTCTTCTTCGTGGCAGTTCATTTTGTAGCACAAAGTTTCTTTTACTTGTTGTGGCAGCTTGCAAAAATGTCTAGGAGCTCGCAAATTTTGTGTTCATTAACGTTTCCTTAGACTGAGTATTTTTGAATAATACAAGTTCCTCAGCAATATTCTTCCTCAACCTATTTTGCAAATGTAGCAACTACATTTTTTTCAATACTTCACACGTCTTATTTTTCACACACAATTTGAAAACTATGCAACCCGCAGCTTTCACAATTTGAATTTTTCTGGGTGCTCCTGGAGCAATCCCGAAAGAGATTTGTCCATTGTGGTGCTATCTTACCTACTTAGTACGCACAGTAACAAATCTGAAATGATGACATTTGGTTGGTGTCCTAGATTAGTCAACACTATGTCTCTGCTCTCCTGTAGGACGTGGCTGTTAGAGGATGCATGCACTTGCACTCTATTTATATGAATCAGACTCACATACACTTGCTTTAAACTAATGGATCCAGATTTGTCACACATAGACATGGTAGATTCTCTATGCGTTCACCTGTAGTGGAGCATCAGCAGTTTCATAGTAACTGGGAATAGCTACTTGTTCCTCCAATTTCAGGTGTTCCTCTTCCTCTCTTCCTGTGAGCACGCTGGTGGTTGTTCTTACAAGAGACCATTTTGCATGGGAGGGGTGAGAAGAGAGGTAATAAGCCATTATATTTTTATTATTTGGCTTTCGGCGCCACTTCTTAATGCAGCCGTTTTCGGATAGGTTAATTCGAACATTCAGAAATGGAAGCCGTTTTCGTTTCGGTTTCTTTCGAGTAAACTTAATGTACGCTGACCGTTAATTCAGTAACTCAAAACATTTGTCTATTTCCTCTTGTGTTGAGCAAGTGGGAAAGCATTCATTCATATATCTAAAGTAGAGTAATTTCGACTATCCGTCTTTCTAGCTTAGTGATATAAATGAAATAGCACTGCTTGGTGTTAGACGCCATCCCATTTTCTCCCTCTTAGCTATGCAGGAATCTTTCCGGATCATCCAAATTGCTGAGGTGAATACAAAATTGGTCGTGAGAAAAGGCAGTTGGTTTGTAGATATGAGTTGCCAAAAATAGGTCGATATTTGGCTGCCTATGTCCACAAAAGAATCGCGTACGTCGCATTATAGTGCTGCCTATTTTTATCACTTGAGCATCAATATATCACTTTGATGCCACTTTGCATTCGGTTTTTTTATTTTAAACTTCCGCTAAATGAGCTGCTTGGAGAATGCACTCCTCTTTAGCGGAAAAGAGAAGATCGCTCCACTGTAGAAGATCTGACTAGGTAGACGACGAGTACACCTTTCCTCTTCGTTTGAGATAAAAATGAGTTGAGTTTTTCCCCAAGCAGTCTCTCAACCAAGAAGACACTCCTGCACTAATTTCTATTAAACAGACATCTTTATTCTTCCAAAAAAGGATGGAGGATCTTTTGATCCAGCTTCACTTCGAGTTCCGATGCATCACCAACTGGTCCGCCTCTAGGGCACAAATTTAATAACTTTATCTCATACTGCCTTGTGATACGCGATATACTTGTCAAGTGTGATTTTCTCCTTAGATGTTATTAAAGGCATCGACAAACACGATTTTTCTTTGGCGCTTGCACTTTCTATTTTGTTGATAACTTCGATAAAATTGACTGATCTTCTACAGCACATAAAGTCTACCATATTTCGCATTACCCACGAAATGCAGATAAGCGAAAAACTTCTTAACCATTGTTTTTTTTTTACAATAGGACCATTTTCGTAGACCCTGGAACTCCAAACCCCTCGGTCGTTGCATTCTATCAATTCCCACCTGAGAGGGCATAACATTTCGACGTTTTTCCTCCTACTCAAAGCTGTTGGTCTCGTTTAGACACCAAATATCGGTCGTACATAATTAATAAAATTGTAGGGATCCCTGCATCGAAATCAAATGAGCATTTGATGTAACCGATATAGACTGTCGCTGAAATTCCATAGTGTCTGCGTTTTCATGGTTTCCACTTTTTTATTGACAAATTCCCGTCGACTTCATCATTATCATTATTTTCCGATTTATTTCCCTTGGACGTTCAAAGAAATAGGGGAGGTTCCATATATCCCGTACAATTTTCAGCATCTTCATTTCCTTCCTGTTTACTTCAGGTCTCTCTTCAGCAGGCAAGGTTCATACCTAAGAACTTGGATTTCTAGCCTCATTTCAACATCCTTTATCTGCCAATTTTTGCACTGGATTACAGCTACCATATAACATAGGTGAGTGAAAAAATGTTAAAAGATCGCCAAAATATGCTCAACATGCATTGGATTACCGACTACCGAAGGGCATCAAGTGGACTAATTTTTTTAAAATCATATTTGAACTGAAACATTTCAAGAAAGTGTATTAAAAAGCATAGAAGATACGTAAAATAAGAGAAAGTAAAAGTGACGTCTGTGCGGTATAACGGTCCATGCGAGTCATACACAGCTCATAGCTAAGTTCGGCAAAAAACTAGGAGTGGCTTCACGTGAGTTCAAACTCATGCTCAGAGTAACAACGAAGGCTACAGACCTGAGAAATAAAGGCAAAATAAATTAAAACTTTACCCCTCCCGCACCCCTTTTCACGATTTCTAAAATGCCTTCGTACCGTTGTACATAATGCTGAAGTTTCATTTTACAAGACGCTTTTAGTGTTGCATGAAGCCTAAGGAAATGCCGACCACCTTTTGATACAATAGAGAAATTTGAAATTTTGATTCCGAGACTTTTCGAAAATATTCAAGTTTTTCACAATTGAGATAACAAAACATTAAGTAACTGCCACGACCGACTTTCTATTAACCTCGGCATTGATCAAGTAATTTTCTTCGTATTTTTGTTGAGCAAACGCGAGGTGTTATTATTCTTTGTTCACGATTAAGCTGACGTTTCGGCGGATTTCGCCTTCCTCAGAGCCTGGAAAGGTCAAGTTGATAGCAATCCACTCGGCCAGACGCTTCTATAACCAAACAAAGAAACTTTAAACCAAGATTTCAATCACTTTGAACACAGCGTTGCACACTCACCGCTTCCTATGAGGCTTCCACTATGTCACGTAGAGACCAACCGCACAGAAATCACATGGAAGTATAATGTGCCCCTCATATCAGAAAAGCAGTTTTATATACTGCCCTATATCACGCGTGATAATGAGGCATTCTTCCCTGCGGTTCATTTTCGAATTTCTGGAATTAATCCAGAGTGCCTCGAGAGTTTTTCGCGCCTGTGCTCTTGATTCGCGTGCGAGGATCGTGACACATGCTTCGAAGTCGTTCCCGTTATGTCTCTGGGTCCTATGCGTGCCTAGCGGGGTATTTGGTCTATTTTTGCCGGTTAGGTGTTCTTTCATGCGGACACAGAGGGGTCTACCCGTTTCGCCAATGTATTCGTCACCACACGTCTTACAGGAGATCAGATGAACTATACCCGAGCTCATGCAATCATCGTCTCTACCATTGGGGCAAATTATGCAATTTTGAGTTGCACATAG